CCAGGCTGGAGTGCAGTGGCACCATCTCGGCTCACTGCTACCTCCGCTGCCCGGGTTCAAGCGATTCTCCTGCCTCAGCCTCCTGAGTAGGTGGGATTATAGCTGTGCACCACTGTGCCCAGCTAACATTTATATTTTTAGTAGAGACAGGGTTTCACAATGTTGACCAGGCTGGTCTCAAACGCCTGACCTCCGGTGATCCGACCACCTCAGCCTCCCAAAGTGCTGGGATTACAGGTGTGAGCCGCCGCGCCTGGCCATCTATTTATTTTTTTGGTTGGGTCTCACTATGTTGCCTAGGCTGGACTTTAACTCACATCCTAACAGACAGACTAATACACAAGCAAACACAGCTACAGACAACCACAGCTTTTTGCCTCCCACACCCCAGGGAGGGGTTCTGGGGGGCTTAAGCAATCCCCCCGCCTCAGCCACTTGAGTAGCTGGGACTACAGGCATGAGCCAGCATTCCTGGCTTCTTCATTCTTTTTCATGGCTGAATAATGTTCCGTTACATGAATAGACCACAGTGTGTTGATCCGTTCATCAGTAGGACACTGGTTTGTTTTCACTTTTTGCTGTTAGGAATAATACTTCTGTGAATGCTCATGTGTAAATTTTTGTGGTGGCATTTCATGCATTTATTTTTTTTTTCATGTATGATCAGTCGTTTATTATTTAAAACTGACATTTTGGAAAACAACTCATTTCTGCGCCTGCCACCTTCCGTTAAATTAGACCATGTTCTTACTAACCTTATTTCTCTTTCCTTTTTGTAAAATTGAAGTAAGATTCACACAACCTAAATTTAATCATTTAAAAGTGAACAAGAGGTTGGGGGCGGTGGCTCACGCCTGTAACCCCTGCCCTTTGGGAGGCTGAGGTGGGCGTATCACGAGGTGAGGAGTTCAAGACCAGCCTGGCCAACATGGCGAAACCTCATCTCTACTAAAAATACAAAAACAATTAGCCGGGCATGGTGGTGCATGCCTGTAATCTCAGCTACTCGGGAGGCTGAAGCAGAATTGCTTGAACCCGTGAGGCAGAGGTTACAGTGAGCCGAGATCATGCCACTGTGCTCCAGCCTGCGTGATAGAGCGAGACTGTCTCAAAAATAATAATAATAATGATAATAATAAGTCTTTTAAAAATATTTAAACATTTTAAAATGAACAATTCACTGAAATTTAATAAATTCCCAATGTTATGCAACCCCCACCACCTTTATTCAGCTTTGAGCAAATATTTATGCAGCACCTACTGTATGCAGCCTGAGCAAGACAGGGGTCATGCCCCAGGGAACTCATCCCAGGGGACAGACTAATATACAAGCACACACAGTCACAGACAACCACAGCTTGTTTGCCTCCCACATCCCAGGGAGGGATCCTGGGGGGCTCAGCCCTGGAGTTTGGAGGAGGGAGAGAGAGGGTCCCAGTGAGGGCCGGGCACCCGGCCCCCTGCCTGGACTCAGCCTCTCCTGCTGTCCCCAGACCACAACGAGTGTGCCACCAGCACCATGTGCGTCAACGGCGTGTGTCTCAACGAGGATGGCAGCTTCTCCTGCCTCTGCAAACCTGGCTTCCTGCTGGCGCCTGGCGGCCGCTACTGCATGGGTAAGCCTAGAGCAAGACTGGCCAGCGGAGGGGAGAAGGGAGATGGGGAAGTAGAGGGAGGGGGAGGAAGAGGAGAGGGACCGGACAGGGACAGGATGAGCATGAGAGAAGGAGAAGAGAAGGAGTAGGGAGAGAAAGAGGAGGAGGGAAAAGGGAAGAAGCGAAGAACAAGAAAAGGAAGAAAGGAAGAGGCACGTGCCGTGGCTCACGCCTGTAATTCCAGCACTTTGGGAGGCCGAGGCAGATGGATCTCTTGAGGTCAGGAGTTTGAGACCAGCCT